ATATTCTAAACCATTATAGCTATTCCCTCAAGTGTATGCACCTTCTTTTCCACTTTCGATAAATCTTCAACCCCATCTCCCAAGAGTCTCGGTGATATAAACAGGTGGCTGTTGAAGTAACCTTCAGTTCTCTGTTGTTAGTTGTGAAGTCCGTGTCCTACCGTATGCACTAACACACACGCAGTCGCGAGGGTGTGGCTCTATTGGAAGTCTATCAACCCGTACAGTGCTGGCGTGTGAGATGCGTGACTACCACAAAGCACACAATGCACTGCCTGTGTACAACCGTAGCCACTATATGCGCGTGTTGCTTCCTGTCAGATTCTACACATCAAGGGGCGGCAACGCCCTCTCAAGCTGACACAAAATGACTGTTTCCTAGTGATGGCTGATGTTTTGAAGCTTGTAACGCCTGCAGTTTCTATTTAACAGAATGAGCATCGAAAAACGATTTCATTTCTACAAAGTAATCAATATTATCAGGGGTACCCAAACAAATTCCAGGGCAATAAGGTTGAAAAATTTACTTTAAAACGACAACTGATAGAATCCATAACATGTCTCAAGCACTTGGGATAGCAACACGAACAATCCCTCTTAAGCGATTTATTGCGCTGTCACCGGCGTGCTTTCGGCTCTGCACAGCCTTCCTTAGATTTACCCAAGCCACGTGGCCTCGAAGGTATACCGTCAATCGTGATCGAAATTTTTACGCCACAACTTGTACCTATCCTGTTTTCCGTCCTCCCAATCGCTTTCTCAGGGCGTTTCCCAGGAAGTGGGAAACTGTTCCTGTGTTTGGTAGAGGAACATCCAGTGATCCACGTTAGATCACCTTCGCCTTACATATATCTGAGATCATTCAAGTATTGATTGTGAAAAGACTTCGCTGTCAACTGAAATCCTCTACAGTTTTATGTGGCCTCTAATTTTCGCTCTTGCATATCTTGAACACCTCTTACTCTTGAAACTGCATCGCGTCAGTCCAGGAAGGATTAGCAAATTTTAGTTAGAAACGGTTTTCATTCTCTCTCTCAACTATTCACGAAACCCAAGTTCTTCCCAGTATGGAACATTGAAGCCATGCCTAGGGAGGGACTTCCTCTCAGTATTTTTTTGTATCGTGTGCAGCGTGAATTCACTCGTTTTGACTCCGATCCATCCCAATATTCACCGTTAGACCATTTGCCCACCGCGCGACCGTTTTCTGCTGTTCTTACTATGAACTGTGCTCTCACAAAGTAATCGATTTGTTCTCCACTTCCGTTCCATTTGTTTGAGGAACTTCACTACCAGCGCTAAGTTGTTCTCATCAAATAATTCTAAAAACCCGTCCAAAGACGGCGCTTAAATCATTTTCCCCTAAGAACGGTGGAATCGTGCAACACTTACTCTGCTTTTCCTTCTTTTTACAGCCTTTCTACAGTGAAGCGCGTAATTGACTATTCATGTTTTGTATGAATTCCCCCAATCCCCACAACAGTCCCCAGGATTATGATTTGCCTCTTTAATGTGAATCATGCTTGTCATCCAATAAAAATATATACTTTACATCAACTTGAGAACAAGCATAGTGCCAACGCAATAACAACGATAGCATATGTGGTGTGGAAAAACAGATAACGGAGGACAGAACGAACAACTTTTTTGTTAGTTTAATCGGAAATTTTTGATGTTTATTGTCTTAGAAGCGAAAAGGGTTTTCAACAAACTATCTCTACAACAGTCGCGCCACTTATTTTGAACCATATTTCTCGGTAACTTTAGCTTTCGGTAACACCAGACCCATGGGCCCAATATGAAAGTTGACCTTCACAACCGAAGAGCAAGCTAAAGCTAGCTCTTGCATACCAATACGTCATGTCATGGGCCGACCGCTACGTTTCTTCTATCACGTTTATCCATCAGGTGCAAAGAGAGCACCATGGGCAAGCACATTCAAAGCGTGACCGGAGGCGGTCTAAAGTGATTACTTTTCTTAGATAACGACTATCGTCAACAAACACCCCACGACGAAACTAATCATTGCTCGCCCACTAAACGATCAATGCTTCGAAGGAACCGGTGGTAGAATACAGAACGCTGATTAGCATTCTCAGTCCACAGGAGCCAGGTTCCGTAACAGTAAGGCGAAACATCACGAACCGCGGTGATGTACACCCTTCTCTTAAGGGATGTCAGATGTCGTGTTTGCACCACAGCTGTCGCGAGTCAGCATAACCTAGTCTTGTTTAACTACTCGTGATCTGACCCATTTCCTTATACCACCTCCAGTTGCGAGCTAGCTCCCAAGGTATTTAAAGCTCTTAACTAATGTTAGCTGATTACCACAAAGAATGAGTGCAGATACAGGCACACGTTAGTCTTGTACAAGCATTTTGCAATTGGATGATACATCATATTTGGATAGCTCTACCACCAAGCGGTTTAATGCAAATAGGATTACCTGCTCATTGCATTATCACCTAGCAAGGTGATATTATTTGCATATTCAAAGCCAAAATCTCCGTTTCCGGGAGGAGTTAAACTCCACCGTTTTGAGACCGAAGGAATCACCGTGTAGGACATCTTCTATGGCAAAGCTAAAGAGGAATGAGGATATAGGATAGCCTTGCCGCACTCCAAGGAAGACCCCAAAAGGTGGTCAAAGCTGGCCATAGGCTCTAATCCGACCTGAGGTACGACGATAGAACTCCTTCTGGATCGACACATACTTCTCAGGTACTTCATTTCTAAACAGTTTCATAGTGCGGTCCAATCGATGACGTCGAAGGTTGCGCGATTGTCTAAGAACACAATGACCAGTAGTATGCGGTAAGCATGACGGTGCTCTAGCAACTGTCGAACGGTGAAGATTTGATCGATGCATCCACGACCGGTGCGAAACCCAGCGTGCTACTCCCAGACTCGCTCCTCAAGCTCTATGAAGAATAAAGGATGCAAACAGATTTGACACTATTGGGATAAGGCTTATCCTTCGGTGGTTGGTGCAAACACTATGCCGGCTCTTCTTAAAGAAGGGAACAACGATCGACTACCCGCACAAGAGGAACCTTCTCTGGTTGCAAACCTTAGAGAACAGAACGTGCAACTAACACGCTTCATTTCACCACCTTTAAATGGAGGTGGAAACAGGCTGTCAGTGCCGGGCGCTTTGTGACGTCCCAAGGCTGGGATCACCTTGCTGATGCTCGAGAGGAGGTGGGCTTGTCGAGGTAGACCATGGGATGTGCAACAGAATAGCTGCGGGTGAAGCTGACGCTGGCGGTCAGCTAAACCCCACCTTGAAGTGCTGCACCCAGCGTGCAAGACGTCGTTTTCCATTGCGACAGGCGAGCTGTCAGATTCTCAGATCGTTTGGCTCACATCAAAGGCTTTTCCACTGGTGACCAAGATGTGATTGTACAGTTTACGGGATGTTCCCATGACGTTCGAATGTTCCATCTCTGCTTTGCGTTGAGATTGACCGATTTCGCAATTTTTGCATAAGCTTGCTTTGAGTTCGCATCTCATAACAAGTCGTGCTTCGTTATTCTCACCAGCAGTCGAAATTTATGGGTGTACATCCAGAAACGGCAGAGACTCAGCAGAAGTCCAAGATAAGAAGACACGACGTGTAAGGTCGCAACTTATTAAGCCAGTGCTGATATATGCTATCGGAAGGGGTTAGTTCTCACTTTTCAGTCTACGACTTTGGAAAGACGGTTGGACATGTTGGCTGAAACAGGTCACAGTTGTCTCGTCGTCACTGTGTTGTGTGTTTTGAACTCTCATCGAAGCACACGGTTATCTTGGTGCAAACTAATGGGTGGTCAGAGTCGGGAGTGCTCCTGACGACAAAAAGGGGAACTTACCAATAAACGCGTTAGGAATGGTAATCTTCAACCAGGTTCGATCGTGTATTTCCAAACCAGAGTCCGGTAACAGCATACTTTGAACTACTGATGCCATGTCCGTTGTAACTGTGAGCGAGTTCGTGGATTTGGTATTGTTTCCACCAGCAAGCAGAGATCCGCTACCTCCATGGTCCCCGGTCCCCTCCCCGGCTGAACGAGAACCCGCTGTTTTAGCACTGCCTGGTCCACCGGTACCAGTGGGACCACCACTGCTCCCTGGACCACCGCTTCGGTAGCCACGACTATCGGAACCGGGATGTTCGTTGGACTCAGCCTGCTCCGGTAACGATTTGCTTGTCATATTAGATGATGACGGCAAACTGGTGAGAGCAGCAAGTGGAGTTGGCATCAGTTGAGGCATTCCTGGAGGGACTGAGGGCATTGCGAGGCCAGAATTCCCCACCATACCGAGATAGGCACCTGATATGGGGGCAAAAACAACATAAAACACGAGGAATCATAGGTTGTGGAGGAATTTCCGTAATAGGTCAAACCAAGATGAGCACAGTGACAACACCAAAATACCTAAATGGTAGTAACGAAAGAATTAGGCAGCATATAGTGTACGCTCTTGTGATATTATTCAATCCTCATTTGTATAACAGTTGATTAACCCAATAAGACACGCACAAGATATTTCGCACACGAGCAGCTCAAACCAAAAGATTATTCATCGCCGAGCATTAAACTAACACCAACAGCAAAAAACTGTGTCAAAGTGTAACGCACAAAATGGAACACTAGTGCACAAGGTACAGACTGTGAAACATAATGTGATAAAACATCTAAGAAAAAGGAATAATCATATTCATAACACACGATATTATGCAAAGACGCCAAATGAGCCAGTGGATAAGCGAAAAATTGAACTGAATTTTCACTGAGTTATTCAATTGATAGTTCGAAATATGAGGCGCACGTGTTTTTTATTCCATAAAATACTCAATCGACTAGACCGTATCAAAATAAGCCAATGTTCTATTAGATTGTACAAAGCTATCCTCACAGCGTATCAGCACGGTGCATGAAACCGTCATAACTATTTTACTAGACCGTTAAATCAAGCTGGCAGGATAAAAAGTGTGCCCAGATCTCAAACTAGGTTTCAAGTGAGTTTTAGGGGACAGGATAGCAAGGTTAGTTCAGGTAAAATGAAAGAGCTGGATAGACAACAGAAAAGCCAAAACCCAGTAGCCCGAACATACAGTTCAGTTATAAGAACCAACAACTTA